TTCTCAGCCTCGACACCAATGGGCTGCAGCCTCAGTGAGACTGGACTGGAGTTCATACGTGCTGTTAGTAGATTATATGTAGATTATAAAAGGAACAAGATGGAAACGTGAATTATTTATCAACCACATTTGGGCTGAAAATACTGACTCCATCCTGACTCCTAATCCTGTCTTTTTAATTATACATATCATCATTCATCATCAGTCACAGCAGCGCTCTTATTAATTAACCTGCACCGTGTAACCTATGACATTCTGAAGGCATTTGTGATATTTTTGGAGGTTTCAGAAATTTTTTTACTGTGAAGCAGAGAAAATAGGAAATAAAAGACGACGCACACGGAGTGAGATGGAGGGATAAATAATTGTACTGCTTCTTAATGCCTGAAGGCTGGAGTGGTTCTCATCTGAGGAAGCAACGAAGAATATAATACCACTGTGCCGGTTAAGACAAATATATATGTATATATATATATATATATATATATACAGTTAGTCCTTGTTGTTTGTGCAGCCAGTTGGTTTGGTAACAGTTGTAATTTGAGCAAAATTATGATGATATCAGGACAAATCATCGTCAGACTGGTTTGAGAATGAACCACATGAAGTCCTGTGTCTGTGATGGTTTATAAAAACTAAACTCCTGACAGCAGAGATTACAGAATCAGAGAGAACAGCATGATGTTGTTTTCTGATTTTTACTGAGGTAATGCTGGACATGGAGATTAGAAAATGTTGAACTATTTTATTTTAATCCATGATGGACAAATTTACCAAATGTGTGTGTGTGTGTGTGTGTGTGTAGCCCGGTAGGAATCCTCCTACTTTGTAGCACGTCAGCACTGGGGGAGGCACCAAAGAGCTGACTTAGAGGGAGTAGTTGAACATCAGAGGAGAGGAGCGCACTGTAAGAGCAGAATGAAGCCGGAGGAGAGTCCAAATATTTAACAGACCGCGAGACAGAGAGAAGAAGAAGAGGGAGAGGGAGGGGAGCGGTGACAGGGTGAGACACACGCAGGACACAGACGTGGTCTCAGGGATGAAGACTTAAATTCGGATCCGATTGCACGTGAAAGAGGAGTGGAACTGTGTTGTTAAAAAAAAGAACCCACGGGGGGCGGGGGGACAAAGTGAGACTGACGAATCTGCAAAAGTGCGGCGCGTGTGGCGCGAAGAAAAGCTGAATGATCGAGGGGAGTGGAATTCAGCACCAGTGGGGTGGACAGCTCCCGCAGCCTGGCCGAAGGTAAATGACTCGAACCGAGCGGCGAGAGAAGAAGAAGAAGAAGAAGAAAGACTGAAGAAAGACTGTGAGAGGAGGAGGAGGAGGAGGAGGAGGAAGACCAGGATCCACAGAGGAACACCGTCCGTCCGCTGAGGTTCACCGCTCAATCTGCGCTCAATATGTACCAGGGGCATTTACAGGTAACAAGGCGGAGTCTGTGTCTGTGTCCATGTACCATTGAGTGTACCACACTGTTGTCATGGGATTGGTGTAAACATTTATGCCCGGGGTTATTAATGTGCACAAATACACAGTTAGTGAAGGCCAAACATTTGAAGCTGTGGTTTAAGAGAAACTGTTTCTAAATAAACAGACAGAAAAACAGGAGTAAACCGGTTGAATTAACGTAGTTCATCAACTCAGTGTTTGTTTTTTTACATTTTTAAAAACGAACGGTAAAAAAGAAGAAGCGGTGAGGGGACGATTGAATGCCCCCCCCTACAGCTCCCCCTCCCGCCTGCACGTGCAGTTGCATGTCAGATGTAAACACGACCAAATCGGCTTCGAGCAAAACATTGAAACAAATCACCACTCACTTCTCATGCATGCTTATTTACGCGTGATGACATGCAATCTGACGTCACTTGTCCTGCAGGACTCCAGAAGATTGACGTAAAAACGACGCACATTCATGAACCTCATCAGACGCATGACAAATGTAAAACCTAAAAGTTTCAACAGTTAAAAAAAAAAAATCAGTGATGAAACTGGTGAAGTTTCAAAATGCGATAACTTTTTTATATCAATCATTTTTTTCAATAACTATTGGAGCCTAATCAGGACAAACTGTAAAATATAAATATCATTCTCAAACCTGGGAAATGTACAGCAATAAAAATGTCACACATATATTAACAATACGGACCAGGAGACATGTTTGAAAACATTTCCCTCTTTAAATTTTAAAATTATGATTTGCGATCCTCAAACACTAAGTTAATAATATTAGTCTGACAGTCGTGCGTACATTAACGGTAGAATTCTCTAATTAGGGTCAAGGCTAAAAAACAACAAACAACAAACACAGTTACAGGACACCGTTGCTCTTATAAACAAATATAAAAATAAAAAGAGAAAATGCAAAGAAAAGAACAAATTAAACTTTAAAACCACCATTAAACTTCCTGTTGGTCACAATTCAATAAAATCATCAGAGAAAATGCAAAGAAAAGAACAAATTAAACTTTAAAACCACCATTAAACTTCCTGTTGGTCACAATTCAATAAAATCATCTCTGTGTCACCATGCTGTGTTAGCGCCGTATATTTGAGATACTTGGTCTGAAGATGTACTCACTCACGATGAGTATTTGTACTCACTAAGTACACAACAACTGAGTATCTCATTGGCTGGTAGTTGGTAGTTGAAGTACTGTAGATACTGCAGCACCTGTAGACGTCTGAACGACAGCATTTAACATCTGATGACGTTTTACTCCAGCATCAGTATGAAAAGCATGAACAGGTGAATGTGGACTGTGGTATAACTGTGGTATAACTGTGTTATAACTGTGGTATAACTGTGTTATTCAGTGTCTGAACATGTGATGTCATGGGCTGGTGTTAAACATTCATTCATACAGTGGAATCAATCACATCAAATGAGTTCAATAAGGTCTGAGTCCTGTTTCACTCAGTGATGTTTTGGTCATGTGACTGCTCCAGTTCCAGTTCCAGTTCCAGTTCGTCTCCTCATCACATCCATGCATGTCATCTGACTGGGTCCTGTTTGTTTTGACCAATGGGAGCTCTCCTAGAGTCGTGTGTTTTTGTGCAGTTCTTCACCTTTCTGTCGTGCAGTACGGGAGTGTTTTCTGTGTTTTGGCGGGAATTGTTTTCAGAAGAAGGAATGATGAAAAAAAACAAAAACCTCTGCTGTGATTAGGCTGGTAGTTAAAGGCTGGGTGTGTTTTACTGACTGTCACTGACACTGATCGAGTGTCAAGTACCAGCGCAGCAGATTTCATTATTGCTCAGGACTGGATTTAGTTTGGAACGCACAACATGTTGTGAGGCTTCAAACACGAGAATCGACGTACGATTTGAACGTACTTAGATTCCTGAATAATTCCTGAAGTCGCTTCAGTTTTTACATGAACTCGTGTTGTCGCAGTAAAAGCCGTGACGTCAGACGTTGATATGTGATGAGTGCGTTCTCGTAAAGCCTTTCTTCCTTCATAGATTTATAGTCAGTGCCTTTTGTCGAATCACATGTGCAGCTGCTCAGAACGCTCCTGTCTGTGGGAACAAGATAAGGTTTGGATCAGGACATGTGACTTCACCTGACGCAGCTTCATGGACTCTTCTGAAGTCAGCTGTAGAATCTGTCGTGTTCGGCTGAATGCATTTCTTGATTTTTTTTTGTAGTAAAGGTTTCCAGTTCTGTTTGGGTAAAACACAGCATCTGTTTGGCAGAAAATCTATCCAGAACTCAGAGGTTCAATTTATCTGCTAATATCCCTCATCTTTTACTGCAAACACTTTGAAATGAAAGCATCGTCAGCATCTCGCAGCACTTGTGCATGAAACCCACGGCGTGTTGTTCCATTTTAGCGGGTCGGGGATCACTTTACTGTATCAAATGTTGGGAGCGATCGGTGCAGCCACGTAGCTGCCGTGCTGAGGTGTGGATGTCAGCAGCGTTAGTGTTTTTGTGAAGGTGCAGCCATAGATACTGGGAGTCCAGCTGATTCAGCAGAGCTGCAGCTCCTCATTAGACCAGCAGGAAATATTGCTCCAGTGAGTACGTCCGTGCACACACACACACACACACACAAAACACACACGTAAAGAGTGTCTTTCTGATGGTGTGAATGCCTCCACTACAGTGGTCTCCTCTTTGACAGTGAAGTTGATCATGAACACACACACTCTGAGAGCAGGAGCCGCTCCAAGGCCGTCATATATTTTGCTCCAACATGATTACATCATTTGATTACCGCGTCTCTCACGTCTCCCAGGAGAGAGAACGATCTTGGACGAACGCTATCACTGATCAAATGAAGATCGAGTCTCAGCCAATCGTGGCCCGTTTCATTCAGCCGCTGATGTGTTTGTGCGTCTGGGTTCACAGAGTAAAGGATTATTTGTGTATAATTCAACATGCTGCGAAGGTAAATAGGCCACTGGCATAATAATAAAAATGCTGAGCTGTTTAGATTTTATTTTCTTTATTTGCTTCATTTATTTTTTCACTTCTCTCTCCCTCAGGCTAATTTGGGAATGTGTGGCTATCTGGGTCATGTTTCATCTGCAGGTAAAGCAGAATCACCCACTATTCTCAGGGGAAGAATTGTTTTTATAATATTATATTTTAGTGTAGTTTATTATTGTATTTAGATGACACAAAAAAAGCCATAAAAAGTCACTGAGCAGTTTGTCTGTTCAGTAGATTGAGATTTGAACTTGTTTTTTATTATGTCAAATATGGAAATTATTAGTTGTAAATTGAAACAAAAAGACTTTTTTTTAAAAAAAACAACAACTTTGTAATGTCGTGTGCCGTTGTCTAAGGTCAGTTTGTGTCCCAGTTCAGAGAGATCGCCCCCTAGGGAAAGTTTGTGTTTTCTCCCATATTTCCATGCAATGAAGGAGAACAAGTTGAGGTCAAGTTGAAAAACCTCTAAGTTGAGCCTCGGCATGAATGTGTGTGGATCCTCGTTGACTATTATTATCTTCACGATGTGTCACACACAGTGGAAGAAACAACACACACACACACACACACACACACACAAACAGAGTAATGGATGATTAAACCCGGAGGAGAACAGTGATCCATCATTCTGGAACCGACTGCCATAAAACACAGTGAAAACAGAGTCGAGCCGTCAGTCAGGGCCGGAGCCACGAACGCCACGAACGCCACGAACGCCACGCTGACACACACACACACAACATTCATCAGCGCCGCACAGTCAGTCAAGGATGTTCAAGTCACCGCAGCGTCGGCCCTGTCTTGATGAAGACATTTCCCCCTGGACGGGGCAAAAAGGTGGCGGACACTTTATTTTCCGCTCTCCTCTGCTTCAGTGAAGCACGACTTGATGAAGATTTAATGGACGGACTATTTCAGGAGCAGAGATAATGAGTAAAAATCAGGTGGTATCTGCCCGGGACAGGCAGCTAGGGCTCTAAAACCAGACAGGGGGTGGGGGGACGTGGGGGGGAAGGGCAGCTTCAAAGAGTGTGAAGTCATTGGAAATGATTAAAAACATGGACAGGTTTCCATGTTACGGTGGCTCTGAGTGAAGAGAGCGACTGTTGTTAGGAACTATTGGATCAGCTCAGATAAGAGTTTAAATATCGTCATGTCATGTTCAAGAAATCAATTCCAAACACAGCAGAGTCACAGCTGTAAGGAGATTTAAACAACGAGCAGAGGCGCTGCAAGGCATTCTGGGCCGTGTGGAAGTATAAGACCTACGTATGTGTTCATAGAATTATTCTGATATTTTAAGATTATTTTCAAAGGTCCATGGACTCGACCTGAAAACAGTCCAGGATGTATCGATCTGACACACACACACACACACACACACACACACACACACACTCACACCAAAACATTCTTATGGACTTTTGGAACAGGTTTTGGACGTTGAGTTCAGGGACAGATGTTAAAGAAACTGCAAACGTAACAGTTGCTCATCATTGGTCGAAAACACAGTCCATATATATATACATATATATATATGGACTGCAGGCTGTGATTAATTATCTGCTATTCTGTGATGAATTGGATTCATCCAATGGTTGGACTGTTCTGTTCTAGTACTGTAGTAGTACTGTAGTAGTACTGTAGTAGTACTGTAGTGTTTTCCTCTGCTGTGTTCGAGGTAATAATGAAAATCATTGTCAAACTGTGTTTCCAACACACGTAGTTAAAAGCTAATGTAAATTCACAGACATAATCTCACGTGTCTACACCTACACCTACACCCTGTGTCTCCTACACCTACACCCTGTGTCTCCGTTCACCTACACCCTGTGTCTCCGTTCACCTACACCTACACCCTGTGTCTCCGTTCTCCTACACCTACACCCTGTGTCTCCGTTCTCCTACACCTACAGCTGTGAGACTGAGAGGAGGTTCAACAGAAATCACTGATTTTCTCCTTTAAGTATCGAGGACTGGACG